ATAGCTAATGATTGATCTTTCGAATCTGTTGGACGGTCCTAATCAGTCTCCAAAAACTATGACGAAGATATCAGCTTCTAATTAAATAGGAATAATTAATGTGAGAGAATAATTAACATCTAAACCCTGAAGCGATAAAAGTCCATATCTACGTATCCAATCCTCGTACTGTGTACTAAATCTACGCTAATAATTATACGTAAACCACTTGCTATTTTGTCTGAGATAACTAAATCTATCGTATTATTGATGAAGCTATACAAGTACTGGCTGGACTGATTCGAGCTCGAACCCATGAGGCGCAATAGCCGCCGTTGACCTGTCCTTAAATGGAGCCAAGCTATGTTGACTGAGAGGATGGTGGTGTCCACGTGTAAAACATTTTTTTTTGGGGGGGGCGTAAATTATTGTTTTTTATTTTTGGACATCGGTCGCTTCCCTGTATGGGACAGCCAGGGTTCAGCTTTTTCCACGCACAGCAAGTCACGCGAGGCGAAAGAAAGCTCCCACGAACGACGCGATTGGCATGTGCTGGTTCCCTGTCTGAGGCGCCGTACGAGGACGTGCGAAGCCGTACGAACTCCATGGTTGGGTGCTCCTCCGTGTTCGGTGGCTCGGTCGAACGTCACTGGTGACAGCGGACTCGTATTGGGCTCTCAGGTAAAACGTGGAGGTGTGAGATCGACGGCTCAGACGAGCTTCACATGGGATTGACGGTCGGATTTTGATCTAATATCAGGTCATTAGGAGTCAAATGCATGGGCAATTAGTCGGTCATTTCTTTGTTTTCTCCTATATGAGTGCACTTAAATCTAATTTGATTTTTTTTATTGGATTTAATATAAATTCGAATTAAAGAAATGATAGCCCAATCAGATTTATGTATATAGAAGTCTGATATAGAAAAATTATATACACGGATGATATGTGGGCTTATGACTAATAAAATATTTAACCTCTATGCATTCCTATCCTATGGCTAAAGATTGATAGGGGTGAGACAAGTATCCAAACATCAATGGATAAAATATTGATGAACACTCTCTTACTAGTCATCAAATTAAATATTCAAATGTATCTCTTATTTTTTAATTATCAATCATATAAAATATGAGCTTGCGGTTAGAACATATATGATCCTAGACTTACCGAGGAAATCAAATTTTAACATAGCACTCATGATCATATGAAAATACTATTTTATTTCTTCTTTCATCAGACCTATCATCGCTCGTGACCCGTGAGAGCTATGGACTAGCCTAACTACTACACGTCTTACCCAGGACCCTCACACGATGTGGCAACAGTAAATGCATGCACCCCCTCCTCCTTCCACCGTGATTAAAAAAGTTTCAAAATAGCACCCTTAGCTACATGAAAACATCATTTTATCCCTTCTTTCGTGAAGTTTGTCATTGCCTGCAACCCGTAAAGGACACATCTATTGACCCCACCGGTCCAACCATTGCATGCCTCGTCGATGAAGGCATGCACCCCCCTCCTCCTTCTCCTGCTACGACTGACTACGAGGACACATGGCTCGCCCCTTCTCTTTCCTCATTATAGTTGATGGCAGACTCCTTCCTTCCTCCCCTATGGCTTATGACGAGGATTACGAGCAAGAGGGGGTTACAAATAATAAGTCCTCCTAGAAGGGCCACAAGTGGTGATTATTTAGGAGAAAGGAGGCAGTCAATAGGATGAAGGCATGGCCAAGCAAGAATTTTCGAAAGTACAAGCACTCTATCAAAATTTATACTATTTTATAATTTTTTTAAAGTACAAGTATTCTATCAAAAATTATATTATTTTATAATTTTTTAAAGTACAAGCACTCTATCACAAATTTCAAAAAGTAAGAGTTTTTTTTAGAATTTACCTATATACATATTATCTTTTATTTTTTTCATCAAAAGTGCTCCTATTTTTTATTTTTTTTTCCAAATGGTGCTCCTATTTTTGTTTTTTCTTTTTTTCTATGGGGTGAGTGAACTCATTACAATGTTTAGGGTGAGGATTCCATTTGGATGATTTACTATGATTTCAAGTAAACTTTATGTTGTTTTTATTGTGGTGGCCAAGGCAGTATAAGAAACCAATTTTTCATCATCATTTGTTTGATGTTGTTTATCCTATTTGAATCATAGTATAGTATATATAGTTTCTAGTATGTTTTGATTTTATTTATCTCACTTATAGTGTATCCCAATAGCATCTAGTATTTTTGTTGATGTATTGAAAATATTATAAAGTTATTTAAAAATATTATAAGTGATATCATATATTTAGGCTTGTTGATTTGGTTAATGTTAAGAGTAATCTGACAACTTTAGTTAACCCAAACCCAACTAATACCATTAGTTAATCTATCCATTTTGTTGAGCCCCAATCATGGATCAAAATGTTGAAACTAAAATTGATAATAGTATATCAATTACATCCTTATAAATCAATTTTAGTTTTGTTCATACACTAATCGAAATATTACAAATCTATCTAGATCATTTATAATATTTTTAAATAGATTTTATATATTTTTTATTATGATCATCAAAATACTATAACAAATCCATTTTCGATTCATATTTGAGTGATGTTTTTAAACCATTATAAATATACATTTGAATCCTAATATAGTAAATCAATTGATTTCTAATTTATTTTGATTTAATTTAATTCATTTTATAATATTTTTTTATTAGCATTATTATGTTTTTATTGATGTTCCGAAGAAATTATAAAACTACTAGCAAAAAAGGAGTTGGCCAATTCGGTTTTTGTGTTTTTGTTTTGATTTTATTGAGTTCACTTATAATATTTTCTCTAAGCATGATTATATTCCTGACTAAGTATGGTGCCACCGCGGGTGAGCGTAGAGGCTGTTTTAGAGGGACCGTGACATGAGAGGATGGGCAGGGGAGGTGGTCCAAAGGGGAAAGGCGAGTAGGCGTCTCCATCACAGGCCTATCCGGCGGTCAGAAGGAGCAGCGGCGGGGCACACCAGCGAGGCCTTAATTCGCCGTTGATGCTGACGTTGCAGTCCCTCTCCGACGCACACTCGCCGTCCCTTTCCAACAACTAAACGTGGTGGGTTCGGTGTTATTGCACACAGTAAAAGGGGAAGAGGGATGTACCTGCGTCGCTTCCTCCACTCCTCTCTTCTGCTGTTCGCACCGTGATTGTACTTCGTCGTTGCACCGTGTCCGTCTATCCTTTGTAAGCAGTGCGCGGACTGGAAGGACGATGATTCTTGGGACTGCTCATTTATGTCTTAAATCTTGCAAGGCTAGTTCGCAATAACACTTCTTTATTAGGCCTCTCACATCCATTAATCCCTCTCTCTCTCTCTCT